ACACACTGGCCGGAGCTCAGGATACTTATACTGGTGGTGAGATACAGGCTCTCTTAAGGTGCATTGTTACTCTGATAAGAGAGTAGCAAAATCTATTTTTTGTTTAGAACAGTGTCAAGTTAAGAGACTACTTCTGACAAATTTTGCAATTGTATGCTAAAATTGTATGCATTTTCATCATAAATAAGATTTCTTTTCAAAAAATCACTACTGTTTGTTAATTAAGGTTTTTCCACCCTTACAATTTTAATGGTTCAAAGAACAAAAACTGCATTTATTTTCATGTATTATAGTTTAATTTTACCAATTTTCGCAAAAAATTTATATGTCGCCATATTATTTGAGTTGGGAGACATAAATAATCAGGAGTGTATTTCAACATTAAAAAATCGTAATTTTTTTGAAAATAGTATTGCATATATTATGTAAAAACTGGTTCAAATACATAATTCTGATGCTTAGAGTACCAAAATACTTGCTACTTATAAGATAATTTGGAAATGTGAATATCAGGGAATCTATTTTACATTAAAAGTACAAAAAAGAAATGTCTGAATGAAGATATCTGAGAAGGAGTTATTGCCCTTGTCACAATTTTTAAAAGATAGAATAATTGATTAAATAATGAAAATATACATTTTTAAAGTTCTGATATTTAACAATATTTATCATTACACTTATTGAAAATCATTTTTTTTTTTTTTTTTTAAAAACTTTGTTCTTTTGGGTATGAATTTAAATTACCGGTAATAACAGTTTTGCAAAAACCTATGACATCATAGGAGGATGGAAATACCTTAAGGTAAAAATTACATGAATGATCAGGCCGTGAACCTGAAATACTCTCTTCATTTTATATGAAAAAAATTGTAAGTCTGAATATTGAGTCTGCGTATCTACTTCATTTTCAACATGAGGGTATCAGTCATTTACCTCATACTGGTAGATACATGTAATACGATCAATTTTATTCAATATTCATGTTTTGAAAAGAGGAATTTCTTTCCTTTTTTTCTAAGAATAAAAAGAAAATTGAGTTATTCCCCTTCAAGATATGATTAGTGAAAATATTTCTTTTTTAACATTAAATTTTTGGATTTACAAATGTAACTTGTGAGTGTGTTTGGAATAACAAATTGAGTACCTACATATTAAAATTTATATAAGAGTACATAAAAGAAAGAATAAGTTGATTTTTCATTTGACTGACAAGGAAAAAGATAAAAAAAACTTTATCAAAAGAAGAAAGACTAAATGCCTGCTATATCAGATCTTGAATTTTTTTTGCAAGAGGAACTATAGATTAAAATTTTTGGGACTTTTAAAAAAAAAAAAATGATATTAAGTGTTTGTTAGTATTTGACTTAAGAAAATAATTTTATGTACAAAAATGACTTTTAGGTTTCGGATCAAGCTAAGCAGACAGGAAGCACAGTGGGTATGCAGACAACAGTAGCAACTTCAGAACTCTTGCAGCAACGATTACAAACTGTACCTCAAAGAGTGGACAAGGTCAAACAAGCAATACTGAAAAAGGACTTCCACTCATTTGCAGAAATAACAATGAAGGTACACTGTGCAAATTGTGTAAACATATATTTTTTCAAGCATGATCTGTAAAGAAAAATATTTTTGAAAACAGTGTATAATTGTTATGTCAGAGAAAGCTGAAAATCATTACCACTCTTTTTTTCTTGTATTTTAACTTAAGTGTCTGGAATCCCTGGATAAAGACAAGTCTCTTTTTATTAAAGATAGTGAATTTTGACTGTACATGCATCTTGTACTGATTTTTAGCTCTTCTGAGCCAAAGGCTCAAAGAGTTAATGCTATGGCCATTTGTGCGGTGTGCGGTGTGCGTTAACTTTTTAGAATATGGGCCATAACTCAAGAACCCCTTGGCCAATCAGTGTCAAATTTGTCACAGGATATCCTTGGCCCAAGGGCTACCCTTTATACTAAAATAAGGTTTAGGACCCTTAAACAAGGGGAGATAATCAGGAAAACAAAACCGAAAGTACTGGTTGCTAAAAAATCTTCTTCTCCAGAACCACCAGGCAGATTTTCACCAAACTTACATACAAGGATCAGGATATGTTGAAGATTAAAAATTGTTCAAGGCATGACCGTCGGGCAAAGGGCCTGGTCTCAAGGTCACTTCAAAGTTGACCTAAATTTACAAATAATAAAAACGTTTATATTTTGCTTACTATTAGGACTAGGATCATCAAATCTTGTAAATTGATGCATCTCAGGACTTCACATCATGTTAACTCAAAAGTAGGTCACGGTGACCTACTTTTTAAATTTTGTGGGCATTTGTTTTCAAATTGATTTGAAGGCATATTTCGGGCACTTTAAGGCCTATGATCATCAAACTTTGTCAGTTGATGCATGTTGGGTCCTTGAACAACGTCAGCTTAAAAGTAGGTCACCGTGACCTACTTTTTGAACTTTATGACTAATTCTTCTTAAAACATTTAATCCAATTATTTCAGACACTGAGAGGTTTAGAATCATCAAATCTTGTTAATTGATGCATCTTGGGACCTTAAAACATATTTATGAAAAAGTAGGTCACTGTGACCTACTTTTTGAATTTTGCAGGCATTTGTTTTTGAATTGTTTAAAAGGCATATTTTGATTACCATCAAACCTAGGATCATCAAACTTGGTCAGCAGATGCATCTTGTGACTTTGAAAAATGTCGACCAAAATATAGGTCACGATGACCTAGTTTCAACATTTTATGGCTATATTTTAGTATCTTAGGTATTTATTGGCTTAGAATCATCAAACTTTGTGAGTTGATGCATCTTGGGTGTCCGGAGAGTAACAAACAAAAAGTAGGTCACGGTGACCTACTTTTGACATTTTATGGCTTTATTTAAGTAATTATGGTACTTATTGGCTTAGAATCATCAAACTTTGTAAGTTGATGCATCTTGGGATTTCAGAGAATGATGTCCAAAAAGTAGGTCACTGTGACCTACTTTCGACTTTTTATGGCTATATTTTAGTATCTTAGGTATTTATTGGCTTAGAATCATCAAACTTTGTGAGTTGATGCATCTTGGGTTTTCGGAGAGTTAAGATCAAAAAGTAGGTCACGGTGACCTACTTTCGACATTTTATGGCTTTATTTAAGCATCTATGGTACTAACTGGTTTAGAATCACTAAATTTTGTTTGTTGATGCATCTTTGGTTTTTAGAGAATGTCGATCAAAAAGTAGGTCATGGTGACCTACTTTTGAATATCTCAGGTACTTTTTGGCTTAGAATCATCAAACTTTGTCAGTTGATGTATCTTGGGTTTTCAAAGAATGTAGACAAAAAAGTAGGTCACGGTGACCTACTTTTAAATATCTCAAATACTTACTGGCTTAGAATCTTCAATCTTTGTTTATTAATGCATCTTGAGTCCTCAGAAAACTTCAATCTTAATATGGATCACTGTGATGTACTTATGGTTTTTTATAGCTTTATTATTAAAAATATTTTCAGTCATTATTGGCTAAGTATCATCAAACTTTGTCAGTTGATGCAACTTGGGTCTTAGGATACTTAAGGTTAGAGGCTTCAAATAGAAATGATAGATTGTACAATTTATCAGAAGAGTGATTCAAGGCCCTTGGGCCTCTTGTTTTAATGTACTCCAGACTAAGAAACTATTTTTTAACAACAGGACAGTAATCAGTTGCACGCTGTTTGCCTGGACACATATCCCCCTGTGTCTTATCTCACCGACACATCTCGTCACATTATGCAGCTTGTTCATGCCATTAATGAAGACAATTCCTCAAACATGGTAATTATATCAATTTCATACTTGAAAAAAAAAAAAATCATATTATGAAAGTGGTTTAGTATGATTTATACCTTAAGCTGATGTTTGATGGTTATATTGTGAAGATTAGTCCAAAGATTTCAAAAAATCCTAGACTGGATTTTTTAAAATTTAAAACTTGAAGTATTTAATAATTTTAACTATGGTGTGGGGAAGGGGTTATGTATTATATATGGGTCTTAATTTTTAATTTATTTTATTTCATGTTTTTGTATGTCTTGCTCTTCTAGGTAGCTTACAGCTTTGATGCAGGTCCCAATGCTTTCTTATTCATGCAAGAAAAAGATGTCCCAACAGTCCTACATATTCTTCGTTACTTCTATCCCAGCTCTGATCCCCACTTTCTCAGAGGGTTACCTGTCCCCGAGAAGGACGATCATCATGTAAGCTACCCAAAATTTTACATTAGCATCAAATGTCTTTTCTTTTGTGGTCTTACTTTCGTAATAATCCTTTAGTTTGACATGGCATCAAAATATTCTCCAGAGTTTATATACATGTATTAGAAATGCACAACATCATTTCTGTGAAACAGATAAATACTGTAAGCCAACCTTTTTTTGGCAAGCGACAAATATTCCAGAGTTTCATGACCTTAATTTACTCATGTATATTTCTCGTCGGGATAAGGTCTCAAAAATTAATCATCAGGAATAGATTTCAAATGAAAAAGCAGGAATGAAAGATGACACAATTAATAGCTGGTTTACAGTAAGTATTAAATGAAGACAGCTGTTGGTTTAATTTGTCAGATTTTAATTACAGGTGGATTACACTACCTTCATTGAACTCAAAGTGGTTCCTAGGGCCCTTAAATTTATCATCCACACAAAACCTGGACCAGAGCCTAGTGTGAAGGAAACGGACTGTACACTTCTAGACTGCAATGGCTTACCTAAACTTCATCATTGACAGGAATTGAACCATGATGAGATTTTTATGATACTCTTTTTGTACAAAATAAACAATGAATAACAAACACTATGCATTGTTAACTGAAGGGAGGAATTAGAATTTAAGTTAGAACAGAATCAGCATTAAAAAACATGGTGCAAAGCAGGACATTCTCTCATGATCATTGGCAAGAGGTGAAAGATGTATAAATATTGCATATAGTTGAATGTATATTTAATGAAAAGTTTTCACCCCAAGAAAACCATTAATCAACCGAGGTGCACTTGCACAGACGAAGTTGACAATAGTTTTCTTGGAGTGAAATTTTCAATGTTACATTCAACTACATGCAGTTTTTATGATGTTATACTGAATGTTTATACAAATACATTAACAGTGAACTTTGTGGGTATAAATTCTGAGCAATCACTTTTTTTTTTTAGCATCACCCGTCGTCAAGCAATTTGACTCTTGCTACGCTGGAGGGCGCGTCTTCATTATTCAGCAGGCAATAGTGATTTATAGCAAATGTTTCGCAATGAATCAGATTCATTGACAACTAATTTACATGAAAGTACTGGTATAATTAAGTTCATCTACAAAGTTAAGGGTAACTTATGTATTACACTTGCTTCGACTCCCAGGTTTAAGCTTTTGGAGCAGATTTCTTTTCAAGTACTTCAATCAGAGATACTTGAAAGATGCTTCTAGTTCATTTCATTTTACCAGTCATGCAGCATCCAAAGCAAGCCTTGTAGTATCAGTGTGCATCCTTACGTGCATCATCCAATGACATCTTTGCAAGTTTGGTTCTGGTAAGGCAAATACATGTACATATAGTCACATTAGAATGAACCTGCACCAAAAATTTGAACATGATCAACCATCTGGAAAATGTATTTGAGATCTGGCATCCAAAGCAAGTCTGGTAATATGCATGTTTATATATGCATCTTAATAGATGTATCATCCATGCAAGGTTGGACAACAAAGGGCTTACAGGTACTTGGAAATGAGACCGTTCCAATTGGTCATTCTTAAATTTGCATTATCTGAAACCATAAAAAGGGGTTGTCTCCATGTAGATAAAAATAAAATACATGTAAATGTAGGATAGGTAAACAATTCTAACTGTGACATCACAGTTGTATGTTGACATTTTTTCCAGTATGATCGGGGCATTGGGTAGGAGAACACAAGAATTTCGAACATTTTCTCCACTCTATTAAAGATTCTTCAGGATAATAAAACTATTATAGACTGAACACAATCTTGTACATAAAAGTTTATGAAATGACATCCAGATAAGATGACAATGAAAAGTCAGAAAGATCATAATTAATATGTTACTCATTTAATTTCGCAACCTCTGGTAAATATAAAATGTATGTACATTCAAACGAGATAATAGCCAAAAAAAAAAAAAAAACATAGCTTGAAAGTTCATACTACATGCATTATTGTCTTTGATGAAATTACATCCTCAAATCTGTTTTAGTCTGACTCGTCAATATCATAGGAAACTCCTGGCATTGGTCTAATCGGATTCCCAAAAAGATCTTTTTCATAATGTCTTGGGTTGCAGAAATGCACGGCTGTACCAGGATTTGGCCACTTCATAACCATTCTCTCATAACCACTGACGTGAATGAGTCCCAGTATAAAAGCCATTGGCCAGAAGATGTGCATCTTTTTGTATTTCTTCACTGTAAAATAAAAAAGATAACTTTATATAATGGAATGATAAAACCATCTAGGATTTGACAGTTGGAATCAGTTCAGAAATTATATATTCATCATACAGATTCAGATTTAATTCAACACAAGATTTAAATTCCATAAAGCTCTTTTTTTGGCCAGAAGTTGATTTTCATACTGGGATATACAATAGCGCTGAGCAACAATGCCGATAATCTATAACAATGCAATTAGTTCAGCTGTGAAAAAGTTTTGTATTCATGTGATATGTTTTTTCCAGTACCAAAATACATGTAGTACATGTATTCACTCAAAATGTTTCAGCTTGAAATTTTTTAGAGTAAAATATGAGATTTTTAAAAGATGTCATATTGTTTTCAATTTGCAAACACTATTAAAGGTTGTTGTTGAATGGTTGTACACTGTATTTCATAAACAAGAATTTTTTTGCTACAACTTATTTAAAGGGCCTAATAGATATTCACTTTGCTTATAAATTGAGGTTACTGAGTAGGGATGGGTATCACCAAAAATTTCGTATTGCGATATATCACAATTTTTTCCCAAAATATCACGATAATATCATATTTTTACAGACAATTTTTACAATGAATTTAAATTAACAGTCCTTATTTTTCTTAAAAATATGCTAGAAAAAAAAAAATTCACGATTTTAAATTTTTTCGTACATAAAATTATTCATGTTTGGATGGTAAGATGCCATTCTTTTCACCTTTAACAACATTTTTTAGACTTTCAGAGAGTGAAAATTAAAATACAGAACAAATAATGAATAATTCCTGGACTTTATAATATGTACCTAGATATCGGTATTTGGGTCTCCGTATCACAATACGTATCATGCAACAAAAAATCGCGATATACCAGTATACCGATAAAATCGCACATCCCTATTACTGAGTTAAGAAAAGATCATTTTTATTGTTACTGAAAATGTTCCTGAATAAATATATTCCAATATAATCACACAATATCCAGTTTATGAAACTGGGTGTAAAACTAACTAGACACACAGGCTGACAGCTGGTAAAGGCTGTCAGTCCTGCCAAAAATAGACTAGACTGACAAAAATATGGTCTTTTATAATTTTATAGCAATTATGTAACTAAGACCAATTTACCACAACTTTCATTACAAATCTATAGACTGATGAATTCTGCCCCTTTATTTGTTACACTTTGTTAGCGATACTCTTAGTTGTTTTGAGGCAGATTTTATATTGGGGCAGTTTACGCTTTTTTATAAACGCTTTGCGGTTTATAAAGCGAAAACTGCCCCAAGTTATGTTATATCGTATAATAGAAGTTGAAATAAGCTTCATTCCTTAAATAAGAAATTCACAGCGGATTATACCCAGTCCTAATATAAATATACTGAATATTATTCATTATGTAAAATTTAAGAGAAAGAAACCTTAAATCAAAAAATTTATATTTGATCATGCAGAGTTGCAAAAATGCTAACAGAATCTTATTATCAAAGTGGTAAATAAAAATTCCAAAACAGTTCCCCCCAGTTTGACCCTACATGTACCTTCAAAGTACTCTTTTTCAGTTTCCTGCATTACACATGTTATACTGTAAAATTTAATGTACATGTTCTTGTTTCCATAATTGCACAGAAACACAGTTTCTGTTTAATCCGTGAGTAGAGAATTGCATGGGTTGTCCTAATGTATTTCTTGTGACAAGACCTTTATTTGGGTATATACCAACATCTTTTAGCTCCTTACTTTGAGTTTGGAATATGACTTGCATGTACTTTTTTGGAAAAAAAAATAGTTTAGTTAAAATACTTACAGATAGGGCCTTTAACTACAGCCCAGGTGGCGTTGGCAGCAAAAAACACCCCATATAAGTTATCTCTGTCAAAGTATGTGTTCCAGGCATACCAAGACGCCCCAAAGAATAATGTAGAGAACACTGAAAAAATAATAAATACATCATTTCAGTTAGATTTAACCAAGATTGTGAATCATAATTCAGATTATTCAGAGCAAAATTCATTCAAGCCAAGCTCATTTTTTTTTTTGAAAACCTGGTGATGTATTCAGAAAGGTCCTATTAAGTGTGTGTGCATGTTCTTAAATAATTAATATCTGCATTATCAGCCTTTATATAAGCACAGGAATATCACTGAACTTACTTCCCAAAGGTACATTTCTTGCCACCAGTTGTGCAAAATAGCGTGCAGTACGAGATCCTGGATTTTTGGGGTGAGGTAAAATGTAGCAGTCCGCCAATGAGAAATACACCCCTGTGAACAGAAAAATTTGTAATCTTTTAAGACTTCTTTTTTAAATATTGATCACCAAGTCACGATAATTCAAAACTGTAAAATAAAAGTAAGTGAAAATCATACTGACTGCAAAAAAGCAATGCTGTAAATTAGGGATGGCAATCGATTGCAGAATTGCCTATCGGTTAACCGCAAAACGTTCCGACCGGTTAACCGGTTAGTTGTTTCATGGTATACATTTTGACATTTTCTTTTCTGATCATATACACAAAAAGGCTTAAAAAGATGTTTGAAGTTACATTCTGTTTATTATTTTGATCAGGGAATTTTATGTATTATACATAAGAGTATTTTTTATTTCAATTTCAATAGACAAGAAAACCAGAAGTCTCTGTCGAGACTGAAGCTCTACTGGTTTGTTCGTATAACGAAGAGAAAAGAACGTAAGGAGTTGGGAATTGAAACTTTACAACAGCAATAAATAGAATAATGATCCTTGATTAAGTCTTTTTATGTTCTTAGTGTAGTCTACTTGCATGCCACATTATATTATAATCAGACTAAAACTGTATTTGGAGTAGCATTGTGAGAGTATTTAACAGAAATTTCTATTTGTAGCAAACAAGGCAATAATGTTCATCGAAGTCAAAAACCGATAAGCAGAATTGTGTATCATAGTGTAGTCTACTTGTGTGCCAAGTTATATTGAAATCAGACCAATCTGTAGCATTTTGAAAAAATTTCACAGAAATTTCTATTTTTAGTAACCACGGCAACATCGTTCATCAAAATCAAAAACCAAAACACAGAATTATGTATCTTAGTGTAATCTGCTTGTATACCAAGTTATATTGAAATCAGACCAAAACTGTAGGAGACATAGCATTTTGAATGAATTTCACAGAAATTTCTATTTTTAGTAACAACAGCAACACCTTTCATCGAAATCAAAAACTGATACACAGAATTATGTATCTTAGTGTAGTCTACTTGTGTGCCAAGTGAAATCAGACCAAAACTGTAGGAGGAGTAGCATTTTGAAAAAATTGTTTACAGACAGACAGAGAGCTGGAAGGACAGGCGGACGGACGTCGGACGTATTACTATCGCATAAGCTCTTCTGGTCTCTGACAGTAGAACTAAAAATTAAGAAAACCATGAATCTTCCTTGAGAAATCAGACAGGGATAATTTTCCAACGCAGATGTTCAAGAAGTCAATTCTGCGTTATCACCATAATCAGAACTAGTCTATGTCTAAAATCTCACTTTATTTACAATTTACAACATTCTTTATAATAATATGATTTTAATTAATAGATAACGGCAAGATATAGACACACTGAAATTAATAGTGCTTAGCGGTGATGTTTTTAATATCATTAAAACTCACAGGACTATCTGGGTAAGAGCATGATGTTATAAAAACAGTAATAATTAACACTTTACGAATTGACCAATTACCCTGTCATCATCTTCGCTAGCCAAGGGTTTCTGATACGCTACTCTCCTCATAATCCCTTGGCATACCGTGTTGATAGAAGTTGTTTTTTTTTCTCGAGTACTGATTGGAATTCGGCACACCCGTCTACCAATAAGCAACTGTTTTTTGTAAATGACGATATTTGCGTTTGGGATACTTCTTGCTCTTTAATCTCGGAAATGAAAAACGCAAGTAAAAAAACGATCCATAAGATAACATGCAATTCTATGAATTGATATGGTGTCATCCAATATCTTCTACATATGTGATTAAGAATCTATATTGAAGCTTCCGATTTGTACTATAAATAATAAATAAACATAACTCAATTATTGCTTCTTAATTATTCTTGAAAAAAAACTTTGATTTAATTTTTTTAAACACGAGTCTTGATTTTTGTCGATGACGCAATCTGTGCGTACCCGAGAGATTCAAGATCACGTGACAAAAACAATCCCGTCTTTTATCTTCACCATATGCCAAGGGTTCAAGAGGAGAGTAGCGTATCAGAAACCCTTGGCTAGCAAAGATGTTACTCAAACAGAAATTTATGTTTTGCTTAAATGTATTCAAAAGCTGCAAAGTTAGAACTAACGATCTTAGTACATATGAAAAGTCTAAAAAATGCGGCTTTTGGTCTATTTCTTACAATAATCATTTTTGTTAAAAAATGCATTTAAATAGCTGAATTTTAATTAACCAAATAAAGCTAAATAGCTATTTCAAGCCTAATAGCAAAAGATTGTACTGGACCTGGGGGGTACCCCGAATTACCGAAATGCCCCTGATTTACCGAAATGCCCCTGGAAATTACTGAAATGCCCCATAAAACTACCGAAATGCCCCTTGAATTATATTCTAATGGTCATTTTATGACAATTTATGATAAATTTTATTTATAAAACTGTGTTTTTTTAACAAAAATTAAAAAACAAACCTTTTAATTCGCTCGAATATAGTGACTACTAAGAGCGATAACTCTTGCAGCATTATCGCAGCAGGAAGCGTGTTATTGGCCGTTGTTATATTATTACTGTATGATTTAATGATCCATATTCTTCTTTCTTTCTCTTTTAATTTGTTGACAAAATTTTATACGGTATGTCTTGTTAAATATTTAAAAAGAAGAAGAAGAAAACATGACAGAAGCACAAGTAGGTACACTTTATCATTTACACCTCATATAAGTACAGTATAATAACGTCAGGTTTAAAAATAAGAGATTTTTATTTATTTTTTATTTTAATTTGGAAGAAAACATATATTTTTTAATAGAAATCACTTAAGAATGTTCGCCTGTATCATTAAATTACAATCTACCACCCACCGCAACCCCAAGATACCGTTGCCCAGCTCTTGCCACGTGGAGGCCTTCTCAATAAGAGCCATAATTTTGAAGAAAAAAAATTTAAAGCCAAAGATGAATTATTAAACATTCAAACTAGAAAAAAATTAACACAAAGATCAAGTTTAAAATCATAATAATTTAACCCAAAGACGAAAACTAAATATGAATTTAAAGAATCTAAAGATGGATAGTGGGGGATCATTCTTGAAACAATAATTGATTAAGCCCAGATTACCTAATAAGAAAAAACGAATCAATTTATATTTTACCAGACACTGAAAATATTTATATATACTACTGATACCAATAAACAGAATACACATGTTTGACATGTGTCACTAGGTTCGAAATGACGTAGAGATAGATCAACTACGCATACCAGAGTTATCTCTCTTAGATAAACACACGTTTTTGAACAAAAAAAAACACATTTGTAATTTTTTTTTTAATTTTAAAGTTTAAAATATGTATAATAATCTCACCACCTTTCATATTAATCAAAATATTTAAGTTTTTAAAGGGCATTTCGGTAGTTTTAGGGGGCATTTCGGTAATTTCCAGGGGCATTTCGGTAATTTCCAGGGGCATTTCGGTAAATCAGGGGCATTTCGGTAATTCGAGGTACCGGGACCTGGGTATATCATTAGATTAAAAACAGAGTCGCCTTTTACGCCATAACCTCTGACTGCAATGTACCTATTTATTATATTAAAAAGAATGTACTTTTTAGGTAAAATCTACAATATTTTTTTTACCATATATAAATCCGGCTTTGCCAAGAATGTACATCTTTTTGGTTGTATTATTTCTAATGTCACCAAAGAACAAATGATATTTCGTAACTTTGTCCCATTCTGTAGGCTCTTCTAATATTTCTCGCCGATATTTTTTCTTAAATTCAGGAGGAAAACCCTGCAAACCATATCCAGGCATTTTCCTAACAAATTCTATCCTATGCCCTTGGCATAGAACAGATACCTAGTATCAGTTTCGTAGTTTCAGTTTCACATTGTTTCCATTTAGTTTTAACGTGATAAAATAAATAACCACTAGGTTGTCACAATACCTTATATCTAATATCAGATAATCTTCTGAAATCTATCCTAAAGTTTCTCTTTAAAACTTTATATATAATACGGATTGGCGGCTGGCCTAGCCTCCACCGGAAGTGACAAAGGAAAACAAACGTCCACATGGCTGGCCAACCCAAAGCTGACTGCGGTTTTAAAGTTTAATTAGTGATGTAAGAATGAATTTCTGAATATGGGGAAAACGAAGAATAAAAAATTCAAAATAGAGAGACCAAAACCAACAGGTTTGATAAGTGTTAAAGATGCAGAGAATGAAATGGAACAGAGTACAAACTCTCCAAACAGTGACTCTATTCATTCCTTGCTCGAGAAGGTAAATATATAGACTAAAGATGAATCTCTCTCTCACTCTCTCTGTCTGTCTTTTCTCTGTCTGTCTGTCTTTTCTCTGTCTGTCTCTGTCTATCTCTCTCTCTGAGTCTCTCTCTATCTCTAAGTTGCGATTCTCATGACTGATTTAATTAAATCCTCTCATTTTCTTATATTAACATTCAGTGTAATTTTCTTAATTGTCACTTTTTTTCCTCACAATGTTCGTTTGCATTATTTGAATTTGCAACGTCACAAACATCACAAATGGCTGTTACGTTTATAAAGCACACCAGTTTTGAGGGACGCTAAATTCACTTAAAAGATTAGCGAAATAGACAATCATGAAGAGGAAAAATTAGAGAATGTAAATATAAGCATTTGAATTCATATTTTGGGATGCTTGTATCAATGGATGTTCAAGATATAAAAGCACAAGTCGTCTTGAAATACTGAAATACCTTTTGCAGATTATCTGGTTCTCTTTGTATTCAACTCATCCATGTTGTTGCCCATGTGGCACAGTGATTAGAGTGCTAGCTGCAGAACTGTGGCTCTCTGCTTGAAAAGCTTTAAAAAGCATAATCGACAAGAAATAATACCTGAGTGACAAAAATTGGCAGCATAAATCGAAGAATCGAATTTTCTCAAGCAGAGAGCTACAGCTATGCAGCTATTAGAGTGCCTGCTTAAGAATCATGAAGTTAGGAGCTGATACTTACGTCAAAGATACAAATCCAGTGTATGTGGGACATGGAGACTAGTCCTCTGAATAAGACCTAGTTAGAATAATCACAGGCACCTGAATTTTTATCAGCCAGATGCTCAATAAGCCAAATATCAATAAATTCTACCCCCTATATATATAAATACACATTCAAGGTGTGCAACACCATTTTGACCCCCCCCCCCCCCCCACCAATTCGATTCAGGCTTCAATTTAACACCTAAATCGGATATGCCTATGGTTTGCGTGTAGCATTGGGTTCAAATATGATAATTCTCTCTTAATTTACCTTTCTTCCTAAAGTTTAAATCCAATGCGTTGATAATGCTTTCAACTAAAATCCATGCAAACTTCAAATTTCATCCCGAAGCTTGATGGCCATCAGCTGATGTCACAAAAATCACAGCTCCTCACTGAATGCTCTAACACATATTAAATATTTAATACAAGAATTATAAAAAAAAAGTTATTGACAAACAAAAATCAGGAAAAAAAACCCCAAAAGATAATGTTGTTTGTTATCCTTGATTTTTTTTAACATATCTTTAATTTATTTATATATTAGAGCATTCAGCGTTCTGTAACTTGACATCATTACAGATGGGGAAATTCCCCGCCCACAGGGTCTGTGGGACAACCCTGATATTTACATACCACGTCCTTTTAAATTCAAGAGAACTGAAGCAGCAGTTTGAAAATTTTTACAGCTTAGTGGCCCGTCAGAGGAAGAGAGAGAATGTAGTTGTACAACTTTAGCCAATCTTGTATCCCAGCCAAGTGCTGTAAAAATTCTCCTTCAACACAATGTGGTGAAAATCCTGGCTCCTGTGATTTTAGATAAAAATCCTGAGATTCAAGTCAAAGCCCTTGGGGCACTGAGGTAATAATTTTTGTCTAAATGTATAAATGTAATTATTTACATAATCTGTAATAGGTGTATTTATATGTGCCTGTTTACATGTAGAAATCTCAGTGTGGATGGTGGTGAAACAGTCTGTCAAGAAATGGTCAAGAAGGATGTTCTCACACCTCTCCTGATTCTGTTTAAACAGGTAAAAGGATTGTGTCGTGTTACAGAAAATTTGTAAACTGGTCAGTAATCATTGCTGAAATTATTATTATTTTTCAGGATATCATTACTAAAACTCAAAATAAGATCCCCTTTAAGGCCAACAAGCATTCCTGAAAACATTCACAACTGCATAGAGTGATCTAGAAATACAGTGACTCTGTATCAGAGCATTTTTATTAGCTCACCTAAGCCGAAGGCTCAAGTGAGCTTTTCTGATCATATTTTGTCTGTCGTCCGTCCGTCTGTCTAGCTGTCTGTCCATCTGTAAACTTTTCTCATTTTCGACTTCTCAAGAACCACGGGGCCAATTTTAGTCAAACTTGATACAAAAGCTCTTCTTGGGTGAAGGAGAGTTTAAATTGTTAAAATGAAGGGCCAAGTCCCTTCACAAGGGGAGATAATCAAGAAAAGGCAAAAATAAGATGGGGTCATTAAAAAATCTTCTTGTCAAGAACCACTGGGCCAGAAAAGCTGAAACTTATGTGAATTAAAGCATGCTGGAATAGTGTAAGTTCAAAATTGTAAAAATCATGACCCCCCAAAGAAAGGGTAGGGCCACAATAGGGAATCAAAGTTTTACATAGAAATATATGGGAACAATCTTTAAAATCTTCTTCTCAAGAACCACTGGGCCAGGAAAGATGAAACTTATGTGGAAACATTTTGGGGTAGTGTAAACTCTAAATTGTAAAGATCATGACGCCCGGGAGTAGGGCAGGGCCACATAGGGAATCAAATTTTTACATAGAAATATATAGGGAAAATCTTTAAAAATCTTCATCTTAAGAACCATTGGGCCAGAAAAGATGAAACTTATGTGGAAGCATCCTGGGGTAGTGTAGATTCTAAATTGTTAAAATCATGACCCCGGAGGTAGGGTGGGGCCACAATGGGGACTACAAGTTTTACATAGAAATATATAGGAGAAATCTTTAAAAATCTTCTACTCTGACAAGAACCATTGGGCCATAAAAGCTGAAACGTATGTGGAAGCATCCTTGGGTATTGTAGAATCTGAATTATTAAAATCATGACCCCTGGGGGTAGGTTGAGGTCATAATAGGGAATCCAAGTTTTATGTAGAAATATATAGGAAAAATGTTCTCAGGAACCAGTGGGCCAGGAAAGCTAAGTTGAAACTTAGGTGGAAGCATCCTTGTGTAATGTAGATTTTAAATTATTAAAATCAAGATGGGGATGGACCATGGTGGGGTGTGGGGTAAGGGGCCACAATAGATATAAGAAGAGGGGAAATCTGGTGAAGAACTCCATCACCTAATTTACTCAGGTGAGCGATGTGGCACATGGGCCTCTTGTTTACTTTGGACTCAGCATACTTTGTGCAACTGTTAGATTATAAATGCATTGAAATCAAATGTAATTAATGATAATTATGAATTAAAAATTCATTAAAATTATTTGAAATTTTTTAGAGTTTTTAGTATCGATATGAAATTGTTTTAGTCTTGCAAAATTGATTTTGATTAATGCTAAACTGCAAGTAAATTTACAGTTGTTTTGTATTGTTTGTTTGACGGGATGTTATATACATGTAGTACAAAGGAATCATTCTTTCCTTCTTTCCTTCCAAATATGGGGGGGGGGGGCTCTGACCAGGTATACTTTCACAATCTGTATGACAGTACTTATTGAACTATATAATAACACTTTAAATTTATTTTTTCTGTCATGCAGTATGATTCTAACTGGACCCCAGAGAAATCTACTGGAAAGAAACACAAGGACTTTAAGTCTTCCATTTTTACAGAAGCTGTGCATATATTATGGAATCTGTGGTAGGTAACTTTTACATAACTTAGTGTTTATATGGTGGTATATTCTATTTCTTTTTTAGGATCATAGTCCTCAGTGAATAAGGGGTAAAAATATATATGCATAAAATCTATAAAAAATTATTTCAACAGAACATACCAGTTAGTAGTAGGTCAGAATGTTATCCGAGCATTACCATTTAATTTAATTGATTTGTGTACATCCTTATGTTGTGTAGATTTTATTCAGTGCAAGTTATTTTAAGTCCCTTGAGTAAGGTTGCAAATTTTACAAAGTACAATTTCTTATTTAACAACAAAAAAAGTTGTAAACTGTACCAAGCATTAGTCTGTAAACATGTTGTAAGATTAGTGTTGTTGAAAACGTCAGCATTAATTTTCTTAGTGCATGTATTAAAAATTCAATAAATGGAATACAATGTTCCCATTATCATGATTATGAAGTGATGAAAAAGAGATGTACATGTAGCTTTGGAAAACTTGAACAAATATTCTAGGCTTTTTTAAGTGAGAATAGTGAAGAGGCTTTGGAGATTTTTAACAACGAGAATCTCCTTCCTGTCTTGTGTCCATGTATGCAGTACACAGTGTATGGAGAGGAATTGGCAGTCACTGTTGGTAGGGATTTCATTCTTAAAATCAAATCATAACAGGCATATAGTTGCTAAATAATTCTGATCTGTTAAAATTTTCTTACAAATCTTTTATTTTGTAAAAAATGAAGACTTGTTTTCAAGGAGAAAAACCAAGACCAGAATATACTAATTTTACTTTATCTCAAGTCTTAAAAAACTTTGTATTTGGCTGTGCTTATTTTCAGTATAGTTGATATTGGCTCAAATCAAAGTTACTTTTTTTGGTATCACATATTACTGTAGATCACTTTTTATTCGCAAAATCTTTATTTTCGCATAATTACGCGAGACGGTATGCTCGCAAAAATTTCATTCTCATGTATAATAGAATTCCATAAGATTATATAGAGCAGTGATCACAACTCGTGAAAATTTTGTCTCGCTTATAAAGAGTTAATGGCTATCTTGCAGAAATAAGGTGTCGCGAAAATTATGTGATCTACAGTAGCTGTATAGTTTTAAGTATACCAGACAATATATTTCTTCAGTTATATTTGTCCATTATTTCAGCAAACTGCCTGTATACAATAACGGAAGACAATTCCCCTGTCATCAAGATGTTTCAGGACCCAGATGTTCTTGGTCTTCTAAATTCTTTGATTTCTTTAAGCTCTGACTCATCAGACCTTATCCTCTTAAAAATGCTTGCAACAGGTAAAGTTTCATGATTGATCATTGATGGTCTGTTTAGAGAAAGGACTCAAATTGCCTGCATTTATGCTTATAATTCTTTTATAGATTTTTCAAGCAGCAGTATCTTGTCTGATATTGCCCTGCAAACTGTGAAACTTAGTACACACTCTGTACTTCAAGTTTGCATGGCAGCTCATTGTCATGACAAAAGTCTTTCAAAAATAGGCCAAAGTCAGAGACTTCTGGTTAAAGATGGTCTTATTGTACAGTTTCCAAATATTCATATAACATTATCATTAATTGCATCATTGCATCTTTTTAAGCCCTCAATCTTGATTTGAAGGACTTACTTTCGCTTCCTGATTATTTAATTCTTTACATTTTGTAGGTATTATGGTAAATATCAGCTCAGGAAAAGCTGCAAATGGTTTAGGCAGTGTATTGAAATCTGTCTCGGAGGTATTAAAGCTTGAAGCCATGGATGTAGCTCAGAAAGTAGCTGGTGCAAATTCTTCCTTATTAAATGGTGAGAATGGTATGGTGACAGACGAGGAAAATGGCGCACCACACAAAATAGTCACCGGCCAGGTAAGAACTTTGGATTCTAAGATGAATTGGAGAATACATGGGCATACAAATATATTGTAAAGGAAAGTTATAATGGTCTTGCTTTTTCATGTGAACCATGTAGCTTCCATAGGAAAAATGTATTTTATTCATCTAGCTTCTTTCTGATCTGAAACTCAGTAGTCAGATCAAACTGATAAATGAGAGAGTAAAAAGTCATAACCTCAGCCCAGGGAATCTGAATAAAGAAGAGAATCTCTGATTTTCTCACAACTTAACAATCATGTGTTTACTCAAACAATATGCTACTGCCAATTTGGCACCCCTCATAATAAATGATGGGTATTGTATTACTACATCATTACATTTGGGTAGGAATAGTAGATTAAATTTTGTTATTTTCTGACAAACTGAACGTAATTAACTTTAACACATACCGGTAGTCATTATACCCGCACTTTCGAAAGAAAGTTCGGGTATATTGTTGTTACTCATGTCCGTCCGTCCGTCCGTCCGTCTGTCACACTTTTCTTCCCTGAACTCCTCCTACATTTTTCACAGTAGCTTAATCATCCTTTGGGAGATGGTTGGGGGTGTCATGTAGATGTGCAGTAAGGTTTCGGAATTTTGATTTTGCCCCGGGGGATCAAATGGGGGTCGAAAAATGACGTTTTTTATACAAAAAGCCCCTTCTTCCATGAACTACTTCTACAATTAACTCAGCAGCCTAATCATCTTTTGAGAGATGGTTGGTGGTGTCATGTAGATGTGCAGTAAGGTTTCGGAATTTTGATTTTGCCCCGGGGGATCAAATGGGGGTCGAAAAATGACGTTTTTTATACAAAAAGCCCCTTCTTCCCTGAACTCCTTCTACATTTTACTCAGCAGCCTAATCATCTTTTGAGAGATGGTTGGTGGTGTTATGTAGATGTGCAGTAAGGTTTCGGAATTTTGATTTTGCCCCAGGGGATCAAATAGGGGTCGAAAAATGATGTTTTTTATACAAAAAGCCCCTTCTTCCCTGAACTCCTTCTACATTTTACTCAGCAGCCTAATCATCTTTTGAGAGATGGTTGGTGGTGTCATGTAGATGTGCAGTAAGGTTTCGGAATTTTGATTTTGCCCCGGGGGATCAAATGGGGGTCGAAAAATGACGTTTTTAATACAAAA